CCACGGGGGTCGGGGGAACATCAAACGGGGAAGCCAAAATCCCAAGGTGGGGTACAAACCAGCGGGTAGCCGGTGGGTGAGGGGTCACCCGCCGGCTGCCCGCCGGCGGCACTGTTCCGGGCAGTGGGTGCTCGGAGGGCAGCTGCCCGCCCGCCGGCTGCCCGCTGTCGGCGAGACCTCTTTTGGCCGTGGGTAGGTGGCGGGTCCCCTACCCCCACTGACTCTTTTTTCACCAAAAACGCCCCGGGAACCTTTGCGGAACCCGAAACCATTCTTAGACACTTTCAAACGCAATTGATAACACACGTAGACAATTAACGGATCAAAATCAAGAAACATACGGCATATAACCTATCATGCTTTTCTAAACATAATCAACACCCAAGTATGCAAATTCCCACCCAATCTACCAAGAATAATATCATACGAATTCCACGATATAACCTAGGGTTCTAATTATTTTTAAATCAACAAGAACACAATTCATCTTCTAATATCAAGATTCGGTAGGGATATCATATAAACATCAAGAACTTCCTATAATCATCAAGAGCACCAAGAACACCATATAATCATCAAGAACCTCTTATCATCAAGATTACCCATGGAATCATAACACCAATTATCAAGATCATTATAACGAATCATCAACACACAAGAATATGGGGGAAATCCTAAGAGGGGAATCATAGCTATGAAAATAGGTTTTGTTGAGACATGAGTTACCTCTTAGCCTTAATTAATTCCTTGGCTATGAAGGGTCTTTCTTTAAGCTTTCTTCTTTCTTGATTTCTCCTAGGGGAATTCTTGGAATTCTTGGTGTGGTGAGAGATTGTTGTGGTGGGGGTTCTAGGTGCCTCCTTATGTTCCCTATTTATATATCTAAGAGTCTTACTTAGGGCCTAATTACTATAGGTTTGCTAACTCTATTCCTTCTAGGACTACGGATTGGGTTTAGGGATAAGGGCCCATGGACTATGGTGGGCCTCTCCTAATTAATTATTGTGATTTAATTCTTTCTTTTGGGTAATTGGTTAAATGATTAATTGGTTTTAGGGATCGTAACACGGGGTGTTACACCTGGATTACCCCCAATACTTGCGCCACACCATCTCTTTCCTCGTCTGCCGTATTATTACTATAGCATACACTAGACTTATGATAATTTACAGCTTGTCCAGACAAATTCTCATATAGGGATAGGCAACTCTTTATTTCACTAGCCTCCTGCACAGTTGCTCTAAAAAATAATAAGCTGTCATCAGCAAAAAATAGGGGGAGCACCCCTAGCTACCCTGCATCCATGTATTAAGCCCCTATCCTGTGCTTGCTGTAATAACAAAGAAAGTCCTCCAGCACAAATAATAAATAGATAGGGAGATAACGGATCACCCTGGCGTAAACCCCTAGTTGGCATAAGTGAATCACTACGCGATCCATTCACCAAAAAGTTGTATGATACTGTAGTGACACACATCATAATAAGATCAATCCATTTATCATTAAAACCCAGAGCCACAAGCATACCACGCAAAATAGACCACTCCATACGATCATAGGCCTTTGCCATATCCAATTTTAGGGCACTCCAACCAACTGCTCCACACCGTTTCCTGTTCAAATAATGTCCTACCTCCGAAGCCACCAAGATATTATCAGTAATTAGTCTACCAGGTATAAAAGCACTCTGTGACTCAGATATAATACTGTCCATTAGAGGTTTCATCCTTTGTGTAATCATTTTGGCCATAACCCTATAAATCACATTACTGAGTGCAATCGGTCTAAGATCAGAGACCAGCTCAGGGGCATTTTTTTTGGGATCAACACCACATCAGTATTATTAAGACCAGGGGGGAAAGAACACGTATTCAGACAATTGACAATAAAACTCGAGACATCTCCACCCACAATAAGTCAAAAATTCTGATAAAAACCCGGGTTCATCCCATCCGGGCCCGGTGCCTTATCAGGAAACATCGCAAAGAGAGCATCTTTCACTTCGTCTACTTCAAAAGGCCGCATTAGCAATTCATTTTGTGTTTGGGTGACTCGTGGGGCAACATTATCAAATAAAAGGTCACCATTCATAGCATTACTAGATGCAAAGATTTGCTTAAAATAATCCAGAACCACACTCGTTATACCATCCCCTTCCACCCACTTTCCACAATTATTCATAAGTCTAAGCAAAGTATTCTTTCTTTTTCGATTTGAGACATACCCGTGATAGAATTTCGTGTTCGCATCAGCATCCTTGAGCCAGTGCTGCTTGGCCCTCTGCTTCCAGTATACATCCTCCTGAACTCCCACACAGTATAATGCCTCCTCAAGGCGGTTGTACTCAGCTAGGGAAGCCGGATCAGTGCATCCCCTGAGGCGTTCCTGTTCCTTTCGGAGCAGCTCAATTTTTTCCCCAAACCTGTGGTAATGGTCTCCTCCCCATCGAGACAGCCGGTTCCCACAATGTTCAATACAATTCTGTGTGCCTCCACTCCTTCCCTCCTCCCATGATTCAGCCACTACTGTCCTGCACCCCTCATCATAGAGTCAAGCCATCTCAAACCGAAACCTCTTCTTTCCACCTACCCTGGCCCCATAATGTCGGATCGCCATATATATAGCCGAGTGATCTGACTTCCTTGTTAATAGATTGAAAACCGTGGCCCCATTAACAATGTTCCGCCACTAATTAGTAGCGAGTACCTTATTCAATTTTTCTTCAATCCATCCAGGGGTGCCTTTACCCGTTTGCCACGTAAACTGAATCACTCATCGGTAACTGAGACAAACCACACTGCTCAATAGTCTCCCCAAATCCGCATAGGAGACTATTCGGATGCAGATTACCCCCTTCTTCTCGTATTGGTACAAAAGATCATTAAAGTCACCAATCACAACCCAGGGTAATTTAGACTGTGTTGCCAACAATTTCAATAAATCCCATGACTCCATCTGCCTCGTACGCTCCGGGTAACCATAATAACAAGTCATCCTCCAATTCGGAAAGCCACTTATACTCACCTCCACATCAATATGAGTCCTTGAATAACCCAGTAATCTTGCTGTATTATTCCTCCTCCATAGTAACGCTAAACCACCACTTAGTCCAACACAATCAACATAGAATGACCCTTCATAACCAAGCTTGACATGAACACGTTCAGCGTGTATTCGCCCTACCTTGGTTTCCATAAGAAATACAAAATCAGGCTTCTTCCGGGACACCAGGTCCACAACTTCACGAACTGTCCGTGGATTGCCCAAGCCACGTCAGTTCCAACTTAGGGTACTCATTGTTGTGGGCCTGTAGCAAGTTTTTTTGAATGATCAATCATGTTAATATCCACCCCTGTGGCCACCTCCTCCATACTGCCGATTCGCCCATCCTGGCGATGTCGTTTCGTTAGTGCCGTGATACCATCATCCCCATCCGAGCCATGCAGTGCATCACCGCCTACCATGCATGTTGCTATTGTCGGACGTATCTCCGCCTCCACACGCTGCACCGGCGGCTCGTCCGACGATAGCAACCAAGGGTCCCCGATTGGCCGTGGGCCTCTCACCTGTCCGGCTCGCATCCACACACCAAAAGGATATTGGTCGGGTGATAACACCGAGTCCCTAGCTTTCAGACAAAATTTGTCCGAATGCCCTAACAGACCACAGAAAAAACAAAAGGTGTGCAAACGTTCATACTTGAAATTCACCCACCCCCACGATTTGTCCCGGCGAATAAGCTTCACCCGTCTCTTAAGTGGTTTATCAACGGGGATAGAAACCCTTATACGATAGAAAGTCTTGAGAGGCCCTCTCAACTGTCGCTCATCACACCTGAGGAACTTCCCCATAAAATTCCCTGTCTGCTCTAACACTGGTACCGTATTGTAGCCAATAGGTAAATCATAAACCTGGACCCATAGATCAACCGTGTCGAGGACTACATCCCCTGGTAACTGGCCATCGTTCAGCTCTCTACAAATCAACGTACTATTCTTGAAGGACCACGACCCCTCGTCCAGCACTCTCCGAATGTCCGTTTTGTGATGAAACACGAACTGGAAGAGATTAGGTTGTAGCTCCGTGATGTGCACACCCTTAACCGGCTTCCAGGCCGAAGCCATAACCTGTAGCATATACTCAAACTTGATGAATCGCTGCGTCAAAAAACAACCAACGAGGGTCCAGGATTTCGCAACTGCCGCCGCTGCCGTGTCGTCCATCGGCGCCGCCTCGACGCCGACGTCCTCATCCTCCAGAACCATGTCCGCCCACCTTGTTGTTAGGCCGGCCACAGCACTACTGCTCGACGAAGCCATCACTGTTACGCTGCACCCCTTCTCGCCGGACAACGATGTTGTAAACCGAGAACCCTAGAAGTTGCCGATCGGAAAGTAGTAGAAACCCTAGCGAGAGGGAGGTGATGGAGAAAACCCTAGCGAGAGGAAAAAAAGTTCGTGTGTGTGTGTGTGTGTGTGTGTGTATATATATATATATATATATATATATATATATATATATATATATATATATATATATATATATATATATATATATATATATATATATATATATATATATATATATATATATATATATATATATATATATATGATTAAGACATCAATTGTTGTTTTATGTGAATTGTGCATTTTGTAAACTATCATCGATATTTTGAAATATTATTATTTTTTTCCTATAAGATTGATTAGATAATGAAATTTTTGCATTTAAATTTTTAAAATAGAAAGAAATTTTGTCTCATATAGAATAGATCGATTTGTAAAAAATGCAAATTTTAATTAAAGCAATACAAATTTAGAATACAAAAAAATTAAAATTTGAATTAATTGAGTAGTCAACTTTCAAGAGAGATTTTGCATTGATATGGAATAGCGTACATGGTGGTTTATATACACAGAGAGTTACACATTATTAGGAATAGAGCCTAAAGAATAGCAATAACCAGCAACAGATACTAACTTCCTAATACACCCCCCTCAAGCAGACGGGGGACATGGGACCACGCCAAGCTTGAACCGAAGAGCATCAAACCGAGCAGTAGCAAGAGACTTGGTGAAGATATCTGCCAGCTGGTCATGAGTGGACACAAAATTAACCTTGAGTGCACCTGTAGAGACCTTGTCACGAACAAAGTGATAGTCAACTTCTACGTGCTTTGTCCTGGCGTGAAATACCGGGTTCGAGCAAAGGTAGGTTGCCCCGAGGTTGTCACACCATAGGACTGGAGTAGTAGCACAATGTAGGCCAAGATCTAAGAGAAGAGATTGTACCCAAACGACCTCAGCGGCTACATCAGCTAAGGCTTTATACTCAGCTTCAGTCGAAGAGCGGGCAACAGTCCGTTGCTTTCTTGAGGTCCATGAGACTAGATTGGGGCCTAGGAATACTGCATAGCCTGCAGTAGACTTTCGGTCAAGAGAACAACCAGCCCAATCTGAGTCAGAGAAGGCATGTACAACGGGTGACGACGAGATTGTAAGGCGGAGACCAAGTTGTAGTGTGCCGTTGACATAGCGCATGACGCGCTTGAGGGCTGCCCAATGATCCTGCGTTGGACTATGCATGAACTGGCATAGGCGATTGACAGCAAAGGATAGGTCTGGGCGAGTCATAAGCAGATACATGAGGGACCCAACCATTTGACGATAAATTGTTGGATCATCTAGTGGCGGGGAGTCTTCGGTAGTGTTTGCCGTTGTATTTGTCATTGGCGTAGCAAGTGGTTTGCATGAGTCGGACCAGCTTTGCGGAGGAGTTCCATCATGTAACGTCGTTGTGACAAAACAACAGAGTCGGTGGTGTAGACTGCTTCGACACCAAGAAAGAAATGTGGTTTTCCAAGATCCCGGATCTTAAATGTTGAAGAAAGTTTAGCAAAAATGGACTCCACCTGTGCGTCATTACTCCCGAGTATAAGTATGTCATCGACATACACGAGAATGTAAATGCGATCCTGTCCATTAGTATAAATAAACAGGGAAATATCCGTTTTGGACGGACGAAACCCTATTTTTACCAAAAAATTCTGCAGCCGTGTAAACCAAGCACGAGGGGCTTGTTTGAGGCCATACAGCGACCGTTGAAGCTTGCAGACATGATTCAGATAGGCGGGGTTAATATAACCCGGAGGTTGTCGCATTTAGATGTCTTCCGAAATGTGTCCATTTAGGAACGCATTATGGACATCCAGCTGCCTCATGCACCACTTGTTAGAGACTGCAAAAGACAACAAAAGGCGAATCGTGGCAGGCTTGACCACGGGACTATATGTCTCCACAAAGTCGACGCCTGGGATCTGGTTAAACCCTTTGGCCACCAGTCGAGCTTTGTACCGATCGATGGAGCCATCTGATTTGCGCTTAATACGGTACACCCACTTACTACCTATTACATTCATTGTGTTTACAAAAGGAACAAGTGACCAAGTATTGTTCATTAGGAGAGCGTTAAATTCAGCATCTATAGCACTCCTCCAGTTCTGACACTTCACGGCCTGGGAATGGCATGATGGTTCATCATCGTCCACTGAAGCTATCAAAGCACGTGGTGGACGACGCTGTTGAGGTGGCCGGCGTTGTTGGTGCGAAGTTGTGCGGAGGCGCATCCCATGTACGCGCGTTGGAGAACGCTTCCTTCGTGTCCTCACCGTCGCAGTCGAAGAAGTGGACGGTTGATAGGACGAGGACGCATCACCGTGCGTGGACGACAATTGCGATACATGCATGGGAAGATCGCCACTCCTTGGCAGACTTGGTGGTTGCGAGAGCTCCACCGAACTGGAGGCAGGGAGGTGTTGAATTTGTGCACTTGCCCATGGAAGTGTGGTGGTGTTAGCAGGAATATTCACGGATGAATCTCGCACATCTTTAAAAGGGAAGACATCTTCATTAAACTTGACGTGTCGGGCAATATACATCCTCCCAGTAGACCTGTCCAAGCACCTGTAACCACTGAAACAGTCGGGGTAACCCAAGAACACACAGGAGACAGATCTGTAATCCATCTTATGACTGTTATAAGGACGGAGATACGGAAAGCACTCACAACTAAAAACCCTTAACATGTTATAATTCGGGAATTTGTGAAAGAGACGGGAATAAGGACTCTCATTTTGAAGACTGTGGTTGGCATTCGATTGATTAGATGAATGGCCGCCTCAAAAGCAAATGGCCAATATTTTTTTGGAGTGTGACTATGTGCTAGCAAAGTCAATCCCGTTTCCACCACATGACGGTGCCTTCGTTCAACGAGGCCATTTTGTTCATGGGTGTGTGGGCAAGATTGTCTATGCAGGATACCCGCGGTGGTGAATACAGAGTGTAGCTTTTGATATTCACCACCGAGATCTGACTGAATGCTTTTTATAGAAGTTGAGAAATATTTTTCTACAAACGTACGAAACTGAGTAAAAATAGAATAAACATCGGTTTTGGTTCTCATTGGATAATACCAAATATACCTTGAATAATCGTCAACAAACAGGACGGAATATTTAAAGCTGTCAACGGACGTGACTGAGGAAGGTCCCCAAATGTCAGTATAAATTAATTCAAGGACATTTTGGTTAGAGTGTTTTATTTGTTCCAACGGAAAGCGCGCAGACTTCCCCATTTGACACGAATTACAGACATTATTGATTGATCGTGACGAACCACTAACTGGACACCTAGACAAAACCTGACTGAGTACCCTGGAGTGTGGATGCCCGAGGCGTTTATGCCAAACCTTCGGGGATGCTTTATTAGATAGAAATGCGACTAGGGCTGGGGTACTGAGCGAGTACATCCCTCCTACGCTCGGACCTTTAAGAAGTGTTTGATTGGTGACCCGGTCCTTCACAGAAAAATAAGATGGGTGAAATTCAACATATACATTATTGTCTTTTGTAAACTTGTGCACAGACAATAAGTTAGCTTGCAATTTAGGAAGATGTAGAATTTTATTTAGAGACAGTGACTGAAACGGGGTAGGAATGGATACGGAACCTGTGTGTAGGATTGACAAACCTGAACCATCCCCGACCCTCAGACTTTCATTTCCTGTGTATGGCTCGGCTTCTTGTAGGACCGCTGCATTCGGCGTGGCATGGGCATTGGCCCCTGTGTCCGGGAGCCAGACATTTGAAAAAGGTGTGCTGTCGAAGTCGTCTTGCGAGTGATGATATGCCACATTCGCATGCGGAGCAGGCATCCGATGCGCAGCATTGGCATATTGCACCGGCGGACGTTGGCCTGAATTGTCTGCATAACGTCGATAGCACGTTAACGTAGTGTGACCGGGAATGTCACATATCTGACACCGGATAACACCACGTCCCCGTTGGCCACGACCACGCTGTCCTCTGTGATTCCGGCCTCGTACCTGTGCACCGGTGGGAGGACGAAACTGCTGTGGTTGTTGAGCCAGTAAGGTAGTCGGCGTAGAGAGCACCGAGGGGACTGTTTCATCCGGAAACAGATAGTGATGTGTAGAGAGAAGGTCGGCGACTTCTGGTATCGTTAACGGAGCAGACTTCGTTGTTAGCGATGCCATAAGAGCTCGGTATTCTGGACGCAGGCCTCTGAAGACATGCAAATTTTGTTCATCTAAACCGATCGGTCGACCGGCCTGTGTGAGCTGCTCAACGAGGACTTGAGCGCGGCCAAGGTAATCGGATGGAGTCGAGTCACCCTGGCGCAAATTATGAAGTTGTGACAGGAGGCTTAGAGACCTGGCACGCGAAGAAGATCCCAGTGCTGTTTCTATCGCAGTCTAAACCGCACGGGAGGTAGAATGTCCTATCGCAAGATAGAGCACATCTTCAGCAAGTGAAGAAATCAGCATGCTCAAAATGGATTGGTCCTGCTGAATCCATTGAGCACGCGTAATGCTGGCTGCCGGTGGCGCATCCGAAGGAGACGCTGCACAGATTTCCGGCGGGCGGAGGATGGAGCCATCGACGAACCTAAACAAGTTCTGGCCACGGAGGAAGGGGACTAGATGCGCTCTCCAAAACAGATAGTTTGTGGCGGTCAGCTTTAAGGACACAAAGTGGTGAGCTTGATGAAGCATATTGGGAAGGGATGTAGTGGTAGCGGATGATGGAGGGATCTCGGCTAAAGCCTGTTCAGTGGAGGCCGCCGGAGAGTTTGTGGTAGGAGGGGTGGTAGTGGGTTGATTATCGGCCATAGGATCAGAAGGGCAAGTCTGATACCAAATTGAGTAATCAACTTTCAAGAGAGATTTTGCATTGATATGGAATAGCGTACATGGTGGTTTATATACACAGAGAGTTACACATTATTAGGAATAGAGTCTAAAGAATAGCACTAACCAGCAACATATACTAACTTCCTAATAGAATTGTACTACAACAAATAAAATTTGAGTTAAGTAAATATAAGACAATGTATTATTAAAATAATTATATTATGGCATTCATATTCCTTTAGGATGAAAATTATAATAACTTTCATTTTCTTTAATATATAGTTGAAAGAAATAAATCAAATTAAGTAAACATTAGTATATTTTAATTCTTACCATAAAGAAGAAATGAGTTAAAAAAAAGACAGAAGGGTCAAATAGACTCATGTACTAACATTCATTGTTCATCTACCACAATGAATTAAAATATGGTCCATTTAGGTCATTGTACTCTCAATTATTTTTCGTCTATCACTTTTAGCAAGTTTCTAACAAGTAACCACCTAATTTGCTTACATGAAAAAATAAAATAAAAACAAAATGCTGACATGTTATTTTTTTCATCTAACTTGCTATTTATTGTCACTTTTTTCGGTAAAAAAATTCAATTTTTTTTTTTATGTATTTTCAAATTATGTTGATTTCTTATACGAATTTTTCAAAAAAAAAAAAATATTGAATCTATTTTTTCTATCGGCTGTGAAATAAGTATGTTACCGCTTCTGTGGTTTTTGAACCCATTTATTGAAATTGGTTTTTATTTTGGTTTTGATGAAGCAAACAACCTTGAGTGACATTCAAGCTATTCTTCGTGAATACACACCCGATTCTACTAATGGTGTTAACGCCCAACTGTATAATCTATACACAAAATCTTCAAAGCTACAATTTAGTGCATCTCAATTGAATACTTTGCCTTGAATTTCAATTCGTATTTAATTTCGATCTAGATTAAGAGTTAAGAACTTCTCTTAGTTGTTCATCTCTCTTGAATATTTCTCTTAACATTGTTCTTTTACTCTTGATTCACAACTATATGAACTGAGAATATAGTGAGCGTATATATTCAGTTAGAGAATTTAACTTATTTGATTATTTTCTTGGGTTTTTTGAGTCAGTTACTGCCGTCCCTGCATTTGAGTCAGTTACTGCACCTTATAGCGTACATTTTCTCTTTGTGAGTAATTCTTGAAGCTGTCTGCACGACTGCACTTAAACACCTAAAAGCTCTACTGAATGTACTTTAATTGTAATATAATAACCAAGCCAATTACAAATATGGTAAAAATATATAGCACTAACAATTTCCCCTTTAGCTGTTATTTGACAAAATTACAAATACTAAGAAATATATACAAAATAAATCTAAATGCAGTTGCAAAATCAAGCTTACTGTATAAGCAGATATATAGTTACAATGTAAAACTTGAAAATCCAAGTTAAGAAATTATTACTGAATGAAATCTCTAGATTTTAAATTATCCAACTGGTACTCCACGAATCAATAGATGATCACAAACAGCCAAATTATCTATATTCAATTGTCAGTTTGGATACACTTAGGGTGTGTTTGGTTGGTGGGTTTTGCCCATAGGAATGAGTATGAAAGTGATTGTTGTTGTTTGGTTGATAGTTTATTAGAACACTACTATGGGTTTCGAATACCCCATAGATTGAAAAACCCATACCCAAATACAATAAGAGTTTCATTCCCTTATTCATTCTCAAGCACAACTATTAGTAACCATTCCCATTCTACCCTATTACCAAACATGTTCAATATTTTCACCAAAACCCATTACCATTACCAAGTATTTGATACCCATTCCGATTCCGATTCCTATGTGCGAACCAAACACACCTTTAGTTTTAATTGGTAATTAACATACCAAAAAATACGCGCTCCGTTAATAATAACAGCAAGCCATTTCTTACTTAAAAGAAACGGCATCGTTTTAACCGCAGTACACGTGCAACGTGGTCCACGATATAACGAATGTATTTAGAGCATCCACATCAATTGGGGAGAATGAGGTGATAATGTAAGAGTGATTAGGAAAGAAAATGTGAGAGGGGAGAGAAAAAAAAATAAAAAAAAAATAAAAAACTGATTTAAAAAAAAAAATTAAATAAATATAAAGCCTTATCAGGCGCGCTGTCAGCGCGCCTGACGCGCTACACGGGCGCGTGTAGTGCACGCGCCCGTGTGGCACTTGGCTTTGCGCAAATGCGCACATCATTGGTTTCTTTTTTTTTTTTTTTTTTTGACATTATTTTGTCGGACAAATATTTCTTAAAATAATTTTACCCCACATTTACTATTAACCCCATCTAACATAATTATTCTGACATTAATATCATATTATCCACTCTAGTGTGGATGCTCTTAGGGGAGGGGAAGAAAATGAAAGTCCACTTTAGTAAGAGTCCGCGCCAAAATCCCAACCGCCCCAAGTCGGCAACAGTATATAAACACCGTTGCCGCCTAATTCATTTCAAGCGCTTAATCTCAACTGTATCATCGGACAGCTCTTCAGAAATCTCTACCAGACTCGCATTTCTACGGTATACGTGCCCGATCTCTCATCTCCGATCTTCGAGAAAACTGAAGTTTCATAGAGTTCTGCTCATCATTTGTTTCGATTTAAGGATTTCCGACCTCTAGTGTTTAAATTTAGTTCAGAAAAGCTCAGGCTTGACCAACGTGAAGTCGTATATCTAGGGTTTCGATGAAGTGTTAGCTTTGATTTCGAAATGAGTAAGCTCGTAGGACTATCCGGCCTGAGTAGCCTGGATCGAGTTAAATCGCTAACTGCTTCCCGTTCCGGAGTTGCGCATAGTTTGTCAATTCCTGCGCGCGTCTCTTCCGACTCAGTTTCTGCGGGAAGCTTCGTGAATTTGAAGCTAACAGCCGGTAATTTGTTGAGTTTTCTGGTATTTTTCTTTGAATTTCTAAGGAAAAGTGTCTTTTGTTGTTGTTGTTGACAAATTACTGTTATTATTTGTGTACCAGAGAAGTTGGTGAAGGAACAAGCTTCTGCCAGAACTGATCTTCAATTAGCTGTAAAGAACCTCTCTATCTTGAATTGCCTATGATACTGGCTTTTACAATCTTGTTTATATTAGGCTTTTGGAGTAGTCAATTTCTTATGGTTATTATCATCATTGGAATTGAATTTTCTGATCGTGAATGAATACAGTACTCTAAGCTGAAGAAATTGACAGAAGACATCGGTGTTCTGGAAGAAAAATTACAAAATGCCTATAATGAAAATGCCAAATTAAAAGTGAAGCAAAAAGAAGATGAGAAACTTTGGAATGGACTGGATTCTAAATTCTCTTCAACAAAGACCTTGTGTGATCAACTCACTGAGACTTTGCAACACTTGGCTGGTCAAGTTCAAGAAGGTAAGTAACTTGATGCTATAAACTCTCTTTGAAATGGTACCACTTCGAGAATTGATACTAAATTCACAACTTGCTCTGTAGCGGAGAAAAATAAAGCATTTTTTGAAGATAAACTATCTGCATCATCAGTTGCTGTTGATAATTTGCATGACCAAATGAAGGCCCTGTCACTGAGGGTGGAATCTTTAGAAGAGACTATCAGAAATTGTAAGATTTCCATTTCTTGGCTAGCCTTCTGTCCCTAACCAGGCAACTTGCTTTTACATATATCTATTCTTTAAATATGTAGTATGTTTAGTTTGATGACATCTTTCTAAATTTTTATTAAGGTGGGAAGGAGCTGAAGGAACTTGGCGTTGAGAAGGAGAAAATGGAGGAATATTTCAGGGATGAACACAATAAAGCCACCGGTATAATTGCCGAAAAAGGTATAATGTCTATGCAGTAAGCTATTCATAGGAAATTTGGAACTCACTTTTTAAATTGCAGCTTAGCTGTTGGGAGTTTTAGTGCCTTAAAGAATATTATGCATAAAGGAGAATAGGAGTTGGAGTTGCTTTGTAGACTAGGAAATAGAGAGATAAGTCATGTTGGTATCTTTTCTGCTTTGTGAAAAAAACCACCTTGTAGCTTCAAATTTAGATAATTATTGATGAGTAATGTGCATTGAATAACAATGAAAGTTGCTCTGACATTGATGTGTCCTCAGTCTGAGAAAAAGAGAACCATGCTCTATAACAGATTTCAGTCCATGGAGAGCTGATGTTTTTCTTGTTTTCTTTTATATTTTCTATAAAGATGAATATTATGGCACTCTTAGTTTCATCTATACGTGCAGTGCAAGTTAAATAAATTGGGTTAATCGGTGGAAGTAGTATTCATGATTCAATACATTTAAATTGTACTACTTTTTATGAGGCTGAGCTCATTTAAATTAAGTTGTGACACTCTGAGATCTTCTTTCTTCTCTTTACTATCTCAACCTTCATTTCTGGCTTGATTCAGATTTTTGATACAGTTTATTTATATATCCTTGATGATAACACACGCCAAATATACTCAAGACTAGGTTTCAATTTATTTGTTTCTTATCAACCTAGTAAATGTTCTGGACTAGGCTTCAGGCTTTTCTGTTTTTTTATAGAACCTGGCTTCTGACCACAAAAGCAAATACATTTTACCTCCAATATTTTCTCTATGTTGTTAAGGCTATCTACCTCTATCTCTGTATCAATTCTAGCATTAGCTGTTTGCTGACAGAACCAGGTAACATGTTTTCTACTTATCATAATTTTGTTGACAATAGTGCCTTCCTATGACCTACATATTTACACTCAGGCGTAATAAATGATCTCATCTGAATGTTTCCATGTATGGTTGCTCCAAACAGTAAGTAGATAGCCTCCCTGTGAATACTAGTTATTTGTTGTCACTTGGGCATGAAATCTGGCACAACAGCTTTATCCTTTATTGCTAGGAGTTGACTTCAGAAAAGCTTCTTGTGTGTGAACCCATTGAATTGATTTATTTATTTATTTTGGGGAGGGGGAGGGGGAGGGGGTGGTGAGGCTGGTAGGCTGCAAGATGTTTCTGGAGGTGTGTACACAACCTCTGGTCAATTCTTTCTACACATGCACAATCCCTACAAGCTAACAAGCAATTGTTTGTTTATAGGAATTGCATGGGGCTACCTATTTTCAGAATAGGAGTTTTATTGGGCAGTTCAATCAGAAACTGCACAATGCGTGGTTATCTAAAGTTAAATATCTTTGTTTCTGACAATACATAACCATCTAATCTTAATAGAGTATTTTTCTTTGTTTCATAAGGATGCAATGATAAAGTGTTGCAATTGTTCTCCAGAAGTTAATACCTCACATTATTGTTAGGTTGTTCACATCGGCTCATGTCACCAATGCCTAGTGCCAAATTGATATTACTATTTCAGTTCGTTTGATGCTTGAAAAGTACTTTTTGAGCTTCAAATGATAAACTTTATTTATGTTCTTTCCTTGATTAGATGCTATAATCCAGAAACTTGAAGCAACAGCAAAATCTGATGGATTGGAAATGGAGACTTTGAAGTCTAAATTGGAAGAGTTGAATCTTGAATCAAGACTGAAAGGAGATGAGTTGAGAAATTTGAGCAACATCTCACAGAATTTAGAGAAAGAGAAGTGTGAACTTATATCTAGCAACAAAGATGTTGCTGACAGATTAGAAATGGCACTTCAGGAAGTAAAGAACCTTCGTGATTTTGTCAATTTTCTGGCTATGAAACTCACTGAATTGGATAATCAAAGTCGAACCTTTTCAGAGAAGGTCATTCATCTTAATGCTTTATTTGACAATTGGTTTAAGATGATCCATGAAGAGAAAGAACTTGCTGCTCAACATGCTGGAAACAAATTTGACCTGCTCCACAATCAGTATACATGTATTGTTTCAGAGAGAAATTCTCTACAATTGTCTAATCAGGACTTAAACAATAAGGTCATTTCACTTCAGAAAGATCAAGAATGTGCAATGGTGCAGCATGCAGAAGAATGTCATTTAGCAGAAGAAAAAATTAGGAATTTAGAATCTGAAATAGAAAACCTTTGCTCTAAGAAAATGGAATTGGATGTGCTGGTTACTAAGTTGCGGGGGGATATTGAAACTTTATCAGAAAATTCAAAACTATCTGATAAGAACATGGTAGAACTCTTCCACAATTTTGGATTCTTATGTGATGCTATTTGGCTTCATTTGATATAATGAATTTAACCATGCAGCAAGAGGTGCTATCAAAGCTTGCTCAAGTAGAAATTGAGAACAAGGATTTCACAGACAAGCAACAGTTGGATCTAATGAAAAAAGATGACGAAATTAATCATTTGCAGAAGGAAATTCAGAAATATGAAGAATGTCAGGGATCACTGGACAACCAAATCAATCAGATCACAAATGCACTAGAGGAGAAAGATCGACATCTTTTGGAACTTGAGAACAGGGAGAAAGAGTTGGGAGATCAAAAGGCTGAGGTGTTCCAACACATTCATCTTATTATTATCTATTAAAAGTATAACCAGTTGAATGTATTTAACACCTTGTAATTGATCACAGATTCAAGAATCTTTGATTGACACCGAAAGCAGACTTACAGAAGCTAAGAAGCAGTATGAACTGATGTTAGAAAGTAAGCAACTAGAGCTTTCAAGGCATTTAAAGGATATATCTCAAAAAAATGATCAGGTCAACTTCTATAAGTAATTAATTCATTTATATGTTGTATAAACTTTACATTTTTGCAACTGACCCTGTCAGGCTTTTTGATCAGGCCATTAATGAAATACGGAAGAAGTATGAGAAGGAGAAGGTGGAGAGTATCAACCTTGAGAAGGAAAAGGTTTGCTGATTGTTCTTTATTAGTTTTTTAATAATTATTCTATGTAAGTGTGTTTTTCACAGGTTTAATGTTCAGGCTGACAAACTTGTTGGAGAGATGAAAAAGAAATGTGAGCAGCAGCTTGTGGAATGCAAAGAAGAATCTAGGCAGTACTTGCTGCGTGTACGAGAAGAACATGCTGTTCTTGTATGTAGTAAAACAAAATGTGAAAGATTTGTTTATTTTCCATATAAAAAACTTTCTTCTTGTAGTAAACAAGATTGGATTGTCTCAGAATTGGATCTCAACCTAACTATGTTTTTAATTAGACTTTTTATTTGGAACTTTCATTGTAGTCTAAGATTATTTTATGGTAGTTCCCATGTTCCTCACACTAGTAATTCCCAACCTAGTTTAGGATACCAGTGGAAGCTTCTTCTCTACCAATGAGATCTCAACCAGAACTGGCCATAGTGATTGGGGATTAGATGACATCATTTAGTATAGTTATTCTGTTTTTATTGGCTAGTAGTTAAGCAGAGTGAGTTGCAAATGATTTTTGCTTGTTATTTCTCAGTTTATGCCTGAATAACTTTGCAGGTTAGTCGCATTCAACAAGAACATGACAAGACGGAAATGAATCTTTTATCCTGTCACAAAGATGAGATAAGACGCATTCAACTTCAGGCCGAAAATGAATTGAGAGAAGTGCTTGCCTTATGACTATTTCTGTGTCCATGCTTAATATTTGATATTTCACATCTTGTTCTATTGGTGGTATGTGATTTGTGTCGCTTTTACAGAAAATAATATCACTTAGGAATGAACATGATGGTCAGTTAAGCGCTTTGAAGTGTAAGCATGAGGATGAGTGTCGAAGACTGCAGGAGGAATTGGATATTCAGAAATCTAAAGTATCTCCTCTGAATTACTTGCTGTTAATATTTGTTGTACTTTCATTACTATGTTCATTTTATATTTCAATTCCAGGAGGAGAAGCAAAGAGCTTTATTGCAGATGCAGTGGAAAGTAATGAGTGAGAATTTGGGAGAAGACCAAGAAGTAACTTCAAGGAAGGTTTGACTTTATAGTTTATACATCAGATATATTCCTACTATATTACAGTATTGCAGTGTGAATTTAAGCTCTCTGCTGTGTTCAATTTTTTTACAACTGCAACTCATAAGAAAATACTTAATCCTGTTTCCTCTAACTGGTTAACTACTTAGCGTACTCCATACTATAAAATGATAAACTACTTATTAAGTCAGCGGTTATAATTCCCTGCTGTATATTCTGTCCACAAAAAATGGTCATAAGGGAAAACTCAGGGATTTAGGAAATAGTATTTAATGTTCTGCTTGGAATTTAATTTATTCGATTAGTTTCAGGCTTATCCTTCGTAAATGTAGTTTTCTTTTAAGTCTAACTTAGTAACTTTATTTACAACTTAAAATGGAATTAGTATTCTAGTACTCCATATAGTATATTATAATTTTGTGGTACATCTAAAAATAGTAAGTAGGCCAAGCACCTTGTAGTTTAGTGGTACAAGTGTTAGACTCTTTATAAGAAGTCTTGTGTTCAATTTCCCTTGTACCTAAAAAAAGGTTGTAAGCAGGAAAGTTTTGACAAACAAATGCGGTATAGAAAAGAATGATGATATCGGCATATAATCCCTGTTATATTATTTGACAAATTAGTGAAAGCTTAAAATTTTTAATGATACACATCTAAATGAAAAGGATGCCATACTTTCTCTTGCATGATGCTAATTCTTCATATTTGAAATAGCTTATCACACCAATGGAAAGATCAGAACTAGGATGTGAGCCTGTGAGACTCTCATCACAAGGGGTATGGAGAAGAATGATGTATGCAGCCTTACCCCTATTTTTAGAGGGGTTCCAAATATTTGATCCCATGACCTAATGGTCAATAGGTGAATACTTGGTCACACATCGTGGCCAAATATAACTTTTGCTAGCACACCAATAGAATGAACAAAATGAAATAATTTTTTGGAGCTGCTATGTGATTTCTTCTACCATAAAGAAGGAAGCGAAGTAAGTTTCATTATTTATTAGTACAAGTGATAATATAACGAGTATTTAGATTTATGTTTGTCTTATCTTTGAGAGATGGGAAAACATCTTCCTATGTGGGATTTTAAATGTGGAGAGTATGGCCACTTGTGTAAATAAAATCATGCCATCATATCTGGATTGAAAACTGTATCGTTTGCAGAACTATTCTGTTTCATCAGCAAAGAAAAAACATTCTGAAAATGGAAAATGGGACCATCATGCAGTAGACCAAGAAGTACAGGAGAAGGTATGCATCAAAAGAAAAGATGATTCTTTTTCCTTTTTGTTCAATGTCTGCAATACTATGGCCATCATAGCTTATATTTCTTTGGTTTTCTCTAGGATTCCACTTGTTTGAGAGCAAATGGAACACCAGTGTCAAACTTGCTTAGGAAAGTGGACAAGGTTAATACAGGAAGTGTTATGAGTCTTCCTAAGCATAGTAGGAAGGTAAGGACCACAGTGAATTAGCAATTAATGCATTCATGGTGTGCCTGTGGAAGATAATTTAAAGCTTAGGATGCATATGCCTTTATTTCTGTCCAATGGATTGAACTTTAAATCTGCGAAAGCAAAAGAAAACAAAAAGCATGTTCATATTACATTTTATTCTAAATTCTAAATATAGGTGGCCTGTCTTAGACTCTTGACTTTTTCATTGATGGGTATATCTTCTTAGATAATGTCAAGTATTATTTCAGCACTTTATTTTCATCTCTACCAGTGAAAAAGGATTACCAACCCCACTCCCCTTCTCCAACTAGCCCTTTTTCTAGTTTTGACTTCTTAAAAGTTTATATTCCAGGTTACTCATCATGAATATGAAGTTGAGACAAAAAATGATGGAACAGTTACCAAAAGGAGGAGAACAAAGAGCACAGTCATGTTTGGGGCACATGTATTCATTCTTTAACAATTCATGCTATTTTCTCCATTATGTATGACTTTATATTCGTAGTTAGTACCATGAGAAATACACAGTAATCTAATGCTACATAACTTTTGGTTAAAATCAGGAGATGAGGAAGCCAAAGAAGAAAGAGACTCCAAAAGCCAATACTCCAAGACATGCTTTAAAGGTATTGATCTTTCCTAGCAAGGTTCCAATATCCTGTGGTTTTCCTTCAGTTAACAAAGAGACTCCAATCTGTTCCTTTGTTAACTGATTCTAACATCTACTATATCAATGTAGGGAACTAAGGATACAGTTCCTCGTACAAAACCTGCCAATATAGGTGACTTGTTCTCTGAAGGATCTTTGAATCCATACGCAGATGATCCATATGCATTTGATTAGAGGTACTTGCATCTCATTATACTCAATAAATAACGAAATTATTAATCTGCACTATATAGTCTCTAGTCTCCAACTCTTTGAATCAGTGTTGCAAGTTTGATGGGGTGTTTGGTATAGCTTATGTAATTAGATTTTTGGTTTATAGATAAAATAATCTCTTTTCTACATATTTGCATAAATTGTGGAGTATGATCGTAAACACCTTTTATCTTATTTAAACAAAAAATCTTTAAGTAACTTGAAATAGACTCTGGATTATTCATAATTCATAATCATAAGCTTTACCAATGCGTAATAAATCTCTCTCTTCTGCTCAAACACTCAACTTTCCATGTGGTTGTATAAAATAAACTTAAGTTCACTTTGCAGTATTGTATAAATGCAGTTGTTATCCGGCATACAACATCCTAGCCAACCTCTCTGTTTTTACCAACTTTGCACTATCAACGGAGCAAAAAATTTTCTTACGTGGTTAACTTTCATCAACCAAAGAGAACATTTGTGTGCTATGACAATGGGTTTATGGGGTGCAAAATGTTTTGAAAATTTCTCACTCATACATTTGCAATGCTTAATACCATCTTGTTTTTCTTTTTATTTTTTTGTTTTTTCAATTATGTTGTTCTCGTATTTCAGTAATTCAACTTATGCCAGATTTAAATAAGTAATATGCCAACTAGGAGCATTCTCAGCCAATTATCTTTAATATTTCTCAGGTGCAGAAAATGTGGACTTCTTGTTCAACGTTCTGGCCTGCTCATTCTATCTGAGAAAATATCTGCGTGTATTCTTTTGTATTGTGACGAGCAGCCATTTGTGCACATTTTGAAACTGATGCTTGAAAATGTACAAAAAGAACCAATCAGAAAAACGCAGGAGGGAGGTTGTTGTACATATACAGAATCAGACAATTACAGTCTATAGTTTGTACAAAAACTCTTGCTATGGAAGAAAGGCAGACATACTGATCAGTCATAGTTGCCAAGCATGTCAGATTGTGGAGTGCACGAGAAATGAGACCTTGATCTTGGGTGCTTGTCATTTAACTGCTCACATACCTTGACATCTAAGTCCTTTAACTCTCTCAAGGCTGTTGTGAAAGTAGATAAAATAAAATACATGCATGGCCTATCACAATTCCACATAGCATCTTTAATTGCTTTACCTTGAAACCCAGAAACTTTCATATTTCCATGTAGATGTTATACACAAAATTTATGCTAAGATCTAGGCAGGGTATCTTCAAAAGTTGGTAGTGTTTGTGAACGAAAATTTACACATTTCACATAAAACGATTTTATAAAAGACTTATTCAATTATATTTCATGGTGTGGACATGGAAATCTAGCCTAACAAAGTTGGGTTATGGCAAGCAACAAGTAAAACAAGTAAAGATTAATATAAATAACAAGAATATAAAAACCATAGGAGAATAGGAAATTGGATTAGGTTAAGATAAGGTGATCAAACTGGGATCAAGTGAGAGTCAATTGACTTGACAATAGATACCATTTAATCAAGAGGAAGTCTTTCTCAAGCTTATTCTGCAATCCACACTCTTAGAACACACAATGACATTCTCATGAGTCATGACTCATAAAAATCTAAGAGATATTTAATAAAAGACCTTGGTCTTGACATTCCATATATACTTCCCTTTTCTCAAAGGTGAAGTGTGATTGATCAACCCCATGAGCTTGATTAGGTAATTCTCTCTTAGTCGATACTCTATCATGTTGATTAACATCATCAAAGCCAAACCTCATCACTCATAATCAACCAATTCAAAGTCACATCTCAATGAACTTAATCTACATTCCTATCTCTCTCCTAAGAGGACTACTCACACATTATCATAACAAAAGTAGGATTTGATCCACGATCAAATTAAAGGAGGAATCCATAATAATCACAAAGCAATAGATCGAAGTAACAAAGTAATAAGCAAAATTGCAATGAAATTAAATTGGAATGGACTTACGTATTTGGAGATGAAATTGCAAATCAAAATCTTGAATCATTGCTCCAAAAGTAGAAATGAAACTTGAATCTAACTAATGCGCGCTTGTATTGGAACTTAGAATTGAAAGGAGCGATAAAGTAAATTTTCTATCTAGGGTTCTAAGAATGGAGAATAAAAACTAATGTCTAATCCCCTCCCCCCCCCCCCCCCCCCCCCCCGCCATTTTAAATGAAAAAAATAACTTTCTCAAATTATACTCTCGCATTTATCGTATGGCCTCTCACGCATTGATAGATCTCCTAATAGCTTTGACACCGTCTTTGAAGCTCCTTCCATACTCTGTGCAGCAGTTCTGGTTTTTAACCCATTTTCACCTTGTAAACGTTCGAATTAGACTTTGTGGTTTTTATAAAAGTTGTAGATATTTCAATTATCTTTCCATTGTCGTTTGTATCATTTGGTTTATTAGACATTCCTACGTTGAGATATGATTAAAATAAAGAGACATAATAGAGAAAAACATAGCACAATTCATTTGTCGCGATGTGAGCATTCGTGTGAGGCTTCGCCTTTACTCCAAAATTCACTTTTCTTCAATTCCCTTGCTCCTTTGGTCCTCAAGTCATGCCATAATACTTCTAACTCATTTTTTTCACTTTCTTGACTTCTCATTACTCTCAGAACAAATCTTCGTGCTAATATAACTTCAAACACATCCAATTGAACTCCAAATTGTCCTTAGTCTTTTTGCCTCCAAACTAGATATGTGCCCACATAAGCTCCTACATAACTAATTGGTCACTTTAAATACAATTAAGGCAATTCTTATCCAAGATTGATCAATTTATGCATCACAAAAGTAGTACAATTTGATATGTATCATTGAGTTTACCCACAAATAAATAATAAAAGAAAAAGAATTGCACAATTATTTTTGTAACTTTAATAGAAGGACTAAGCTAATACACATATATGCATAGTAAATATTTTATGTCCCCTATAATAGTTCAAGTGGTCTTTTAATCAACATTTAGTCTTGTTTTCAATAATTAGTGATGATTAATACCAGTCGTTATATTATAGACCGCGGTGCATGTGCACCGCGGTAAAAAACGGCAAGAAACGGCCCGCCGTTAGAGTTAACGGAGTTCGCTTGTTTGGTGTATTAAACACCAACTGACACTATAGTATATCTAAACCGACACTGCAGTTATATCAAAATGATACTGTAGTTATAGTGAAATGAAACTGCAGTGTATATAAAATGAAACTGAATAACATTTCACATATTTGAGTGTATCCAATGAAGCTGTAATTATATCAAAATGATCATGTAGTTGTGTTTTAATGAAATTATAGTGTATATAAAATAAAATTAAATAACATTTTCACATATTTGAGTCTATAAATATCGAATGAAACTATAGTTACATCGAAATGAAACTGTAGTTGTGTTGAACTGAAACTACAGTGTATACAAAATGACACTGAATAACAGAGTTACTCTTTGCAAAAGGGTGCGAAACGGCGAAAACAAACAATGTTTATTTTCATTTTAAAAAAAAGACGCGCGGTGCATAATCGATTATGCACCGCGGTGCATAATATAATTTGCCGATTAATACCTGCTGAGATAAACATGAATTATTTTTTAAAAAGAAGATTATATATATTTTCATGGTTTATTAAAAAATAAGTTTTCTATTTTTAATATTCGAGAAGAGATGACTTATTGAAAGTAAGACAAATGCACTTATATGTCATAATTGCAAAATCTTGATCTAAGATCTGATCTTGTTGGGAAAATAGTCCAACTGTTTTTATCTTGCTTTACTTCTCTCCCATCCTAAAAGGGAAACGGCTATGGGAATTACAGATCTTTAATTTGTTTTCTAAAAATAGTTTAACACTAATTTAGTAATTTAGACGACAACACAAGGTTAAAATCATATAAATTAGTTTAGAGGGGAAGCTAAAACAAACTTTACCCGTTTAATACTTTCTCATCAAAACAAAAAAGAAAAAAAAAGAAAAAAAAAAGAAGAAAAGTCATACAATCACAATGAAAGCGATATTGACTCTTTGTGCTTTATTTGGTTGAGAAAATAGTTATGAGCATATACTACATTGTAATAGAGTCAGTAGAATTCAAAAAATTATCATCATATTTATAATTTATTTAATATTTTCTTTACATTTCTACTATTTCAAGTCACCTTCAAAATATAATATAATATAATATAATATAATAATATTTTAATTAATTAAAAAGTCAGCTATGGACAATTTAGACTGATTTACATCATTGTGCTTTGTCGATTAAGTTCACAAAGCAGGGTTTACCTAGTGGACACCTTAGGGTACGGTATTAGATATAAGTTTTTCTTGTCATTTAAAAAGATGAATACTACACATATAATTTAGAAACTAAGTTTGTATCACAAGTATAATTAAAGAACAAAAAAGTAATTTTTTCTTACATTATGATACAAGGGTTAAAATGTTTTTAGTCAATTTTCATGGATACATCCATTCTTTAGATAATTTGAATGGTTCACTTGTAATCATTCATATAATGTGGACAAAATTTCATACAGACTTTACAGAATAGAATAATAATATTGTTGTTCTATAGCAAAAATTAAAATAAAGAAAGGGAAAATTTTTAAGGAAAAGCTAAAACAAATGTATTTATGTATCTATATTTTTAAATTTATTTAAAATTATAGACTTATCTCACTCAATTGTAAAATGTTATTGTTACAAATATTAACATAATGACCATTATTTTTTCAATCCCTTCATCTTCCTTATTAATATTATATGTTAGTTATAGAAAGGTGAAGGGTTGTATGGATTGTATATATATACATGTTGAAGAATAAATAAAGGAGACTTGAAGTTCCTAGATTCTGAGTTCTCATTTTAAAATAATGCCGAAATTCTATGGATGATTGATGAAAATGATCTTCAATATTTGAATCCACATACTAAGTAGATTGAACTAGAAGTTCATAAGAAGTAAACTGAACTGGAAGTTCAGATGATAATTAATTTGCCAATATATATACTGATAAAAAGAGTTACTAGGTCCCATATATCTTCCCCAACTTGGACCTTATGTATTTACCAATGCTCCTTAACGCCAGAAGCGTGGAGACATGTTGGTATAAAAGACAAGAATCCGTGGAAAGCTAAAGCTAGTAGAAAATTTCGTCACTCTTGAAATCACTTAAAGAAGTATGTCCTGAAGACATTCGTCCAGAAGGCGAAAAACCCTAGTAAAATTATAGGTGCACCCAAAATCATAAGACTGGGGATGCGGAAAGACCAGATAAAAATATCTTTGGAAAATGTCTAGAGTCTGGTTGAATTAGAAATCGCCATTATTTTATATATATGGGAGAAATTTATGAAAAATGTTATAGTTGTCGACAACAGAATTGCCTTTATAAATTGCTCTCAATATATGAGAATCTGGATCCAGAGCTAGGCATCAGTAGTGTCTTGATTTTTTAATGTATAAAAGAGCAATTCAGGCATGTACAGCTCAGCTCGCTAAAACTGTATTCTCTTTATAACATGTACACCATTTAATGTTAACCTTGAAGGTTACAAATGGGTGTTTGCACAAAAGAGAAATACAAACAATATGGTGCTATGATATAAAATGAGACTGGTAGCTTAAGGTTTACGCAGGGACCCTGAATTGATTTTGATCAAATGTTGTCTCCCACAACAAATGACATTACGTTCCACAAATTAACATTATTGGCAGTGAATTATGAATTTAGATATGCAGTTGATAAACATCATGACCGCAAACTTATGGGTCATTAGATGCTCGCTAATATTTATTTGTAAATCCCTGATGGACTCAACATTTTTGAAATGAGGAAAGTGAAAATAGCAATGTGTATCATTAATTAAACTACTAAAGTGTTTGTATGAATTGAATATTATTGACTGAGTGTTTTCCTCCCGAAGAAGAAATATGAAAATAATATGTACCATTATGTGTTCGTTAACGAATTGCTAATGGAGTTATTTATTTATCATCTCAGTCGATATTGATGGTTTAACTATCATTGAGACACATAGAGAGCTTGGTGATATCAGCTCATGACGAAATACGGAGTTTTAAAATAAAAGACTTGGAAATCCAAGTATTGTATCGACCTGAAGATTGAGCTTCTCCTTGAAGAAGTATTATACACCAGTTAGCCTACTTGAAAAATGTCTTGAAGATGTTTTATATGGATAAGTATTATTTACTTATCACACAAACGGTTGTCTAATAATCTATTGAAGTAGATAAATGATCATTTAGACTCGAAGATGATAATGGGGATATTTAGGGTCTGGAATGAAGTCCATTACTTCATTGCTATTGGAGCACTATTATTGAACTAGAAGTTCCATAATCGCATCATGCATGATATTGAATTTGCGATGAATTTGCTAGCAACATTTAGTGCTTCCCCCTAAAATGAAAATTGAAATGGTATTTAACATATCCTCCAGCACCTTCGAGTATAAAGATTTTGACGTTTATGTGAGAAACCAATATGTGGTTTTGGTGGGCTACTTGGGCACTGGCTATTTTATTTGATCCTTATGATGCCAAGTCCAAAACTTGTTATGTTATATTTTTACCCCAATGTCCCATATGAGGACAAATAAGATTGTGTTGCACAAACAAGTAATAGGTTTGTTAAGGGGAACCTTACAAAATATATTGCACCTAAATCTTTTTATACACATGAACTCCAGAAGAGTGGTAAAATTCTTGTTGAGAAAGTTTGCTCTAGTGAACAATCTTGCAGATATGTTCACTAAGTCTCTGCCTACATCCACTTTTGAGTAATATGTTCATAAAATTGGGATGCGTAGGCTTAGGAGATTGTCATCTTCAAGGGGAGCGACAACCCCTAGTTGCACTGGAATGGACAATCTAAAAGGCTTTTGAAATCCTGAAGATTATGCCTCGAAAGCATATGGTTGCAACCTTTTTCCCTTAGCTAAGTTTTTCCCCACAAGATTTTCTTAGGTTAAGGTTTTTAATGAGACAACCGATGTTGGTGCACTTGAGTGGATAGTCCTGAAGACCCT